AGCAAAGGGTATTGCTACTAGGAGCAAGGACGCTACTAGTAGCTCCTTTCGATCTCAAGGTCTCCCTCAGAACAAACTTTTCTGGCAATCCTTGACCGAGGCCAGGGAGATTTGGCCTTGGGCCTCTTTTGCTTGAGCTTGATGCTTGATGGGTACTTGCCACTTGGTGAGATGCATCACCAATATTCCGCCACAGTACTTGGAACCATTTGGAACCATTTTGGACGTCATGAGGCCGCTGACGAGCTTGAAACCAGAGGAGGTCGACGAAGCGGTCCCAGACTTATAAAGCATGTTGCTATGAGAGCCGAACAACGATTGACGACAGTCACAGAAAGCAGAACCAAGAATGCAGAGTCTGAGGTGATAGTTTTGATGTTTTGCACCGCCCAAATTCCAATTGATGTTGAGCTGTACATTGAACTAGTGCGCCGCATACATCCCCTCCAGGAAATGTCAATGTAGAGTCGGTAGGGTCAAGAGCGGATTCTTTTGAACAGTTAATAATAAAAGTCGTACCGTGACTTGTTTCAAGCTGCCGATGATTGAGGACTGGTGTGAGTCAATGTCTATCTTAAATGCAGGCAACCAGCCTGGAGGATGCGAGACGTGTCGTTTCGTCTCCCCTCGCATCATGTCTCATGGCCAAACCCTCACTGGCAGGAGAGGCAGCGGAAGATGGTGCATCCAGCAAAGCCTCATCCCAGCTCCTTGGCTGTGAGACTCCCTTTCCTTCCTCCTTGCTCAGTCGGCCAAGCTAATCTCGTGCCGTCGAACAATAAGATCATTCATTTTGTTGAATTGAATTGCATTTTTTAGATCCTGAGTGAAGAAGCTATCCGATGTGGGTGACTTTGTAATTATCCAAGAACCTATGACGCTTTGTTGACTTGACCAAGGATTCTTGAGATACTGTGTTTGGCAGTGCAGAGCTCAGATTCTTGTTGCGATTTCTGCGTGATGTGGGCTACTGGCAACAAATGAGGTGCAAGAGGACAAGAAGGGTATGTGTGAGAAAGTCCACCATGTCGCAACGGCCTTGGTCCAGTAGAACTCAAAATTGCCATAGAAAAGATCATCTTTGGTGCCCAACGGTGCCGAACTGTGTCAAGGTTCGGGAATTGTTGAAGGCAGGATCAATGACAATCAGATTTGGCAACATCGAAGAGAACCAAGCAAGAAGGTGACGTGACAAATCTCAACATGTTTTAACATTGGCTTAGTATTAGACCTTTCGTTTTCCAATTGCACTCACCACCTCATGAAGTTCTTGTGATGATTTCCTCAGGAAGACTGAGAGAGAGGCCTGTTTTCTTGAACGTGCTACTCACGAACATCAATACGTGGTTGTTGATCTAAAGGTCCTAGACAGGATTGTTGATGACGATGACCCGGAACATATCAACATCTCATTTGGTGATTTTTTTTCTCAAGTTGGCGAACGTGTTTGTTTTTTTGGCGAAAGATCTGGCTAAAGATGTTCTTTCTGCTGCTGTTGCTACAACTACTACTACAACTACAACAACAACTACTACCACTACTACGACTACTACTACTACGACGACTACTACTACTACTACTACTACTACTATTCCTACACTCCTGCTGCTACTACTACTACTCCTGCTGCTGCAGCTACTACTACTACTACCACCACCACCACCACCACCACCACCACCACCACCACCTCTACTACTACCCCTGCTGCTGCTGCAGCTACTACTACTACTACTGTTCCTGCTTTGGGGGGGTGGCTTTGCCACAAAACTCTACCCCACAAAAGACAAAAGTTTGGCGAAAGTTCAGGTCAAGATTGGCGACAGTTCACCCTGCCACATCTGACCCGCAGCCCATTATGAGTAAGTCTGAGTGACCGGCTACTACAGTGATTCTTGCAATTTTGAGTCTTGCTGATACCCAGGAGAAACAAAAGAGACGTACAGGGTGTCAACAGTTAAGTAATGTTAAGTAGAAGACACATGCTGACAAGCAGTGAAGTTTTTATTTTGCATTTGCCAGTATACAACATACATGGCACACATCATACAACATACATGGCACACATAAATACAACATACTTCGGCGAAGGATAAAACGCAGGAAGGCGACAATTTGGCTAAAGTAATGTTTTTGCTAAGATGACGGATCCCGGATAAAGGAATTTAAATCAACACCCACGTAGTGTTCTCATTTATTGAGAACTGACTACCAGCCACTTTCTTGCCATCAAGGCAGGTAAGTATGGCCCCTGACTCGTTGAAATGTCATGTGTGTGCTTTATATATATATAGGTTTTGCACTTTTCTATATCTATATATAGCCCACGAGCACACAAAGCTGTTGCTTTACAGCTCTGATGGAGCTCTGATCATGGCTCAAAGCACACACCATGACTTTCCTTGCCCAGCACTTGTTGGAAAACACACCCCGGAGAGCTTCGAAATCTGCCCCAAGATGTTCAATCTTTGTGCACTTTCCACCAAGTGCCCCAAGTGCGGCAGCGTCATGTGCCACAGTGTTCTAATTTGTTTGGTCAAGCTGCGGCTGATTGAAAGTAGTTTGAGTCATCCTGCCGAGATTGTCGAGTTTGGGTCGTGTGATGGTGCGCGTCGGATGGATTCAGATGCAGCAGTCCAGCTTGATTGCATTTTGAATCCCCACTCCTAACTAAGTGGTGCAGGGGGCACGTTGTTGCTAGCACTTTCACCTAGCCACTTAGTTTTTTGCAGTTTCAGAATGTTTCACAGAATAGTAATAGTGTGAGAATGTGTCAAGGGTATTTCACGTGTTGCTATGTTTCCTTCAATGCTTGGGTGTGAAACATTGGTGTGATCGTATGTGATGCTATGTGGTCACATGGCTCCATATTGATTGTTTCACCAAGTTTCCTGCACATTGCTGGTTGAGGCAGTTGTTCTACCAAGTGCTACGCAATGAGAATAAACTGGCCACCTTGTTGTGAAATGAAATCAATGCCATCAGCAACCATCAGGGAATGATACTGTATCAATCTTGGCAGCCTTGCAGAGATACCAGAGAATGTGGAATTGATATGTACGGATTGGTATTGACATATCAAGATTTGCTTAGGTTTATGTTTTTAGATTCTAGATATGACCGGTGGCATTCAGTTGAGATATGTTGGCATGTTTTCCGGATATCCTGCATCTAAAGTACATAATAGTTAAATATTTTAAAGTAATATAAGCACAATTTGGCATGCACATTTAACACATGTTCTACCTATGTGCAGGTACTGGCATTCTGTAACGTTATCCACATGATTCAATGGTCAAGACTACCACATCCTGCAATAGTAGGTGTTGCCCATTGAAGCCTACATAGCTATGTGTAGGAATGTGCAGCCTGGAACGTTACTTACACCCACTGTGTATGTCATACGCTTTCAAAACCTCACACATCCTAGCTTAAATTCCAGTTCGGGGAGCTTTGTAGAGTCTGCATCGCAGTCACAACAACAATTTGAGCTGGGAGGATGTTTGTTGCATATTCCTTGTGCTTCAGAGGGTGGGGATTTCAGTAGATTGTGAGTTTTCGGAGCCAAAATTCGGGAGCTGATGTGCTGTTCTTCGCAGATGGCGTGGAACCAGCGCTTAGCGGCTCCCGGAATTGGATGGAAGCGGTGAAGCGAGCCGTGCCCCAAATGCTGCAAATGGCGAGAACAATCGTCACAAGTCATAAGAATGTAATGTTTTTTGTTGCAACTGTACAGCTGCATGTCACCAGATGAGGCAGCGCGATGGTTCCCGGTTGCATTCGATTCTTGACCAAAGCTTGTCATTTTGCATGATGGGCCAAAACAGCCACGTAAATGGTTCAACTGGGAACCAGCCAAAGAATCAGCCGCCTCGGTCAGAATTGTCCAGATGGAAGTTGCTGTGAAGCCCACCAATGGCCAGAAATGACCAAGACAGTTTCTTTTGCGAGGATTTCAATCCTTTTACTGTAATCGACTCTCCAAAAGCAAGCGTGAATACGTCTCCAAGAGCTGTGAAAGACTTTCCAAGCGATATCCTCCCAAAACCGAGCGAATCCACCATCGAGTCTTGGGCACATTCAGCCGTGGCAAGGTCCTCCTGGAGCACCCTCGCTTTGTGGCATCCCGACCCCCTCGGAAGGATGGACAAGTCTTGTTACTACTAGCTTTCTTGTTACTACTAGTAAGGCACTTGTTACTACTAGCGTGTCAATTTGGGGGGGGGCAGGTCGGTTCAGAAATGTCCGACATGCAGTTGATTGGACGCATGGACAGTTACACAACGAACATTGTATGAAAACGCCATGAATGTTTATATAACATTTCAGGTTCTAGTTGTAATTGTGTTGTTGGGGCCCAGTAGTCTTAAACTCTTGAGGTGCATGATTCGGACCTTTTGTCTATGGCAGGACGCATTTGGCGATACTGCGCTGCACCGTGCTGCTGCTTTTGGCCACGTTGATGTGCTCGGATCCTGAGTTTCCAGATGTGCTGCAGCGGAATGCGCAGTCACTTGCAACGAACAACGTGTTGAAAGATAATCTTTGTGAGCCCCGCCCTTTTAGCATTTCTGCATTGCATCGCCAAGTTAGAACCACGTCACAAGCCGGCTGCAAATGACAGCTAAGCCACCCTTTTGCATGAAACACATGAAAGGCGTGATGTTGTTGAAACCATTAAATCAAATCCAAAGATTGCCCGTTGTTGTCGTTTTTTTTTGCGTATATACCTTCGCAAAGCAGGCAGTGCACAGTGCACAGTTGTTCTTCTGATTCTGCTGCTGAATGTTTGCCATGGAACGACCGCGATGCAGATCGCGGACTACCATGTCTTCGACAATGTGCTTCCTCTTAATTCAAAGAACGAGGGAAAGGGCTTCAGTTCCTCCGCAGCTGCATTGTGCGTACTCTCGCATGCCAGAACCCGCAAAAGTGACTGGGGAACGAAAGACCAGATATGCTCAAAATATGGTCCATTGTGAAGCAAATAACAAACACAATCCCAATGCTGGGAAATGTTCAACCAAATTTCTCGAGTTTCCCAGAACATCTAGGAACCAAACAATTGAGGCCTGAGCCCTTTTGCGTCTATCGGTGATGGCTACTCAAGATAGTAGTTTGCCAACCATTACCTCCTCTTACTACCAGCCTACTCCCCCTCCTGACAAAAATCAATAGTTTGCTCAACGCAAGTTATCTCCAGATATCGTTGATCCTAGGGCAGTTCAGGTGTTCCCAGATTGCGCTTCAGGTACCTAGGACACTTGGGGGCTGCGCTGCTGGGCGGCAGTTGCTTTGCTTTCTCGCGGTCAGGACAGAGGCCGTTGACCGATTCGACGAGGGCAGGATGAGCGGGCAGGGGACTTGAAGCAGAAGCTGCTTAAAGCTGATTTGAAGCAAACCTCCTTTGCCTTTGCACTCCTTTGCACTCCTTAGCCATAGCCTTTGGGGTCGCGTTCCTTTTTGCAGTGCAAACGAAGTGCCTTCAGCTAAAACTCAAGTGCTCAAGCTTGATTGATTCATGGAATTCCGGGACATGACTACAGCATGACTGCACTATGTAAAATATGCAGATGGCGATGAAGATACTGTAGATTCATTCTTGTCAGCTTTGGGACATGTGGATCTTCCCATTTGACACCCGGACCGACCTCCATGGGCGACCTGGACCCACCGGACCCGGGCGGCAATTCCGCCGGGAACGTGAGAATCACGGCCAGAACGTTGGGGGGACGTGAGCTTGGTCCACACGAGCTGTTGGCCAATGACCAGGTCCATCAGCTGCGCCAGCGCATGGCTGCAGAGTTGAAAGTCCCTGCATTTACTTTGAAATTGATTTTTCAAGGGCAGACCTTGGATGAAAGAGCCACATTTCACTCGCTAGGCATGTCTGGAGCTGTTGACCTCACATTGGTGAAGGTGCCGTCGGAGAATTTAGATGACTATCGAAAATTGCTCAGTGACTTTGCCAATGCTGTGGAGAGGAATAACTTGGAAGAGGCCAGGGATCTCTTAGACCAAGGTGCTGGCCATGATTCAAAAGGAAACCTCTTAGAGCAGAAGGGAAGCAACGTCTTGCATTTGTCGGTTCGAGGATGTTTGATGGATTTGGTGAAGTATCTCATCGAGATGGGTGCGAATTTGGAGGCCAAGAATGAAATGAGTCGAACTCCCTTGATCCAGGCCTCCATCAAGAACCACCCAGAGATTGTAGAGGCCCTATTGCGAGCCCGTGCATGTGTGAATCATCGAGATCGCTCAGACAGGACAGCACTCTACTACGCACTGGCGAAAGACAACATGAAGATTGCTGCTATGCTGACCGATGCAGGAACAGATCCAGATGAGATTGCCAAACTGTCTTACATGTTTGATGAGGTAGAGCAACGAGCTGCGTTGATGCCACGGCGTCCATCCTGTCAGTCGTCCTGTGGTGCCTCATAGATTCATAGATGTCTCTGTCGAGCGGCAACGCGAAACAAATCGATGTTGCGAGCAAAAAGCCTTGTGAGGGCAGAGGTTCAACATTGTTCAACTGTTGGGGGAGAATAGATGAGTTGACGAGCTTTTTGCAACAACGAGGTTGAGAAAGCTACTGTATCACTATGGATCACATGGATATCTATAGGACTGAGAATACATGAGACATGAGAGCCTTAACAAGCATAGACAGCATAGACAAGCTGGAGCATAATAACGAGAAGGAGCATAGACAAGCTGTGGCGGGTTAACACAATTCTCATATTCCTTCCATCGGTTTTCTCAATATAATATAATCTCAACTGCAAACCAGGTGATATACAGTTCCAGTCATAGATTTGCTGAACTGCGCTGTCAGGCCACACAGCCTTGTGGATGGTCTCAGAGCGGGCAGTGAGAGCCATCACCTGCGGCGACCGAGTCGGGTGATGGTGAGGACCAGTGAGGACGCGGGGAAGCGAAGCGCCGTGCAGCTTTGTCCCGCACTGTGAGTCAGAGGGAATCGGAAACAACTAACAAGAAGCTAGTAGTAACAAGTGTATCGCTTCTAGTAACAAGTGCCTTACTAGTAGTAACAAGAAGCTAGTAGTAACAAGTGCATCGCTTCCATGGGGCACACTGGGGGGCAGGACCAGAGTGGCAGCAAGGTGCAGACGCTGGACGGCCACTTTGACTTGAAAGAGGAAACAACTGATGCCTTGTGCTTGCCTTCACATTCTATTTAGAGTTTTTGCACATTTTCCAATTATATAAACATATATAAACCGTTTTCTCTGCAAACTTTTTTAGATGAGACTAGTGAGGATGTCAGGACTTTTCTTTTGCAGATCGCAAATGGTTCCTTGAGTCCACAACCTGAGACTGAATGCCAAATAACCTTTGATGACTCATGGTCCATGCAGAACACCTGAATCTCATCGCTTTGGCCAAACAAACTACACTGACTTACACGCTTTGGACTTCCTATGTTGGCATTTGGGGGGGGCTATTGCAAGCTGCAGAGCAGCACATTCTGCGAAAAGCAACCACTTGCTGCTGGGCACAAAAAAACACACTGATGAGCACATCAACCAAGCTAGCTAGCTGCATCATATAGGCTAATTAATATTGTTTATCAAGAGCTGTGCACAAAGTAAGGCATGTGCAAGGCACTGTCCCTGAGTAGCCCCAGCCAACCACCTCGGAGGTCAGAAGAAGGCTGCATCCTCCAAGACGGAAATGCTGCGTTTCGCTGTGCCGGCACTGGGTATCTACTTGGCCAACCCCATCATGAGCAACATAGATGCTTAGACTTCTTCAATAGCATGAAACAACAGGATTTAGTGCAGAGAACATCTTGGCTGTGTGGTATAGATCATGTAACAACATATTTCTGTGTATGTATGCTGCCAAAAAGTCTTCTTTTCAAAAGTCTCACGCTGTTGACTGTTAACATTGTAAACTGTGCACCAGACTCGCAATCACTCCTTTCAAGGGAACCAACTACTCTCCACCCACTTGAGCCGCTCTAAAAACCTGCCTTTACATCTTAAGTAAGGACCTTGTCATATCGAATTCCGCGTAAGCAAAACCCTGGGTTGCGTAAGACTGCGTAAGCATTTCGCGTAAGCATTTCGGAAGTTTGCTCTGCGTAAGCAAAAGTGAGGGCCGCGTAAGCAGCGCGTAAGGCCTCGCGCAAGGAAAGTGATACGACATAGGGAGTGACTGCAGGTTTTTAGAGTGGCTCACTTGATGATGGTAAGTCTAAGCATCAGTCTAAAGTCTACAGTCTACAGTCTACAGGCAAACCAACTTCCAAGAACCTGTTTTCAATCCTTGTGTGATTCTTGGGAGTTCACAGGCCTGTTTGCAGGTAATCCAGATGGTTTTGGGACAGCTAAGGACAACAGCTTCGTCGGCCACTTTGCAGGGACCACTGCTCTAGCTGCTTTGAGCCCCGGAGGCGTTGTTGATGGTCCAGCTTTTCTAGGTTTGTTCAGTTCAAGCATGCTCAAGTACCAGCTGAATTCAGATACAGAGGTCCATAGTGTTGACAATTACATTGCGACCGCACAGCCGGCCACACTAGATCTCCGGACCCAGTTGACCCAGTTGACCCCAACAAGCTACCACTCCTACTGCTAGTTGTACTGCTGCTGCTGCTGCTGCTGCTGCTGCTACGGGTCAACTAGGTTCAACTGGGTTCAACCGGGTCAACTGGGTTTACCACCAACTATCACCACCACCACCACGACGGCGAGTACTACTACTACTACTACTACTACTACTAGTATTTCTTTTCAAGACAAGACACATTCACGTGAAATAAGAGGTTAAATGCAAGACCCAAGAACTCTTAGGGTCTGGCGACGACTACCACTGGGCATGTTCCATCAAAGATGGATCCCCACTAGTGCCAGGTAAAAAATAAGGCAACCTGAAGAGTAAAAAACCAACCTCAACACCAGGGGTCCCGTGTTGACCTTGGTTGGGACCCTTTCCTCCACGAGTCGAGCACTGACTGGACCTCAAGAGGAGACCTGTGCGCACACAACATTCACATGTGGTAGAAATGATCCAAATCATCCAAAGATGTAGCTCGATGTTAAGATGCTTTGGTTATGATCACTGGGCGCAGAGGGTCGTGGTTGAGGTCCGGCAGGGAACACTGGGCGCGGATGGTCGTGGTTGAGGTCCGGCAGGGAACACTTGGGTCTGGAGCTCGCGGTTGAGGTCCGGCAGGGAACTGTTCCTGGGCGTGGATGGTCGTGGTTGAGGTCCGGCAGGGAACACTGGGCGTGGATGGTCGTGGTAGAGGTCTGGCAGGGAACACTGGGCGTGGATGGTCGTGGTTGAGGGAACACTGGGTGTGGATGGTCGCGGTTGAGGTCAGGCGGAGGAGGAGGCGGAGGACGAGGAGGAGGAGGAGGAGGAGGAGATGGGGCTGACGTAAAATCTACAACCCTCATCTGACAGGTGGGGAACAAAATGGTACACCCTGAGAGTG